AGTAGTGAGTATTTTTAATTAATACTGTTCGTGCTTATTCAGGCCTGGCAGCTTATGGACGGCCTCTACTGTTGTTCAACTACCTTAAAGCCACCTGTTAAATGAATGCGCTTTTGCAAAGGAACGGGTCGAATAATATTGAGTTTATATGTATATGAAAATTTGTTATGCTAGTGCATCGGAAAGCATGTTTTTTAGTCACATAGCATGCTCAAATACATTTATACATGTTTTTTTATGTAAACATGTCATATCCGTGTAACAGTATTTGCATGTAATTATACATAAAATCACACTAATATATTACACACAATTTGTGTCAAAAAATCGATTATTATCTATCGTTTTAACTTCTATTGTGCACTAACTAACCTAACAGTGTCAAATATCTTAACTTATTCTCTTTTACATCTTATTTCCTAAGTGCATTGCATCTTTACCCTAACCTCTTCTTAACACTAACGCATAACCGCACGAAATGCGAACATTGAGTTCTGCATTGTTTTGGGGGCTCTTTTCACAGAGAGCCGATATCTCAGCATCGTGGAGTCATAGCCACCTAATTGAAAATTCGGTACCCGTAATAAGGAAAAGGTGGTCAGAAAGCCAATTCATCTAAATTTAAAGTCCGATTCGTATCATTCTCTGCTCCTTTAAGGAGGCGATAATAAACAGTTAAGCGTCCAGCGATTGTACACCGTTGCACTAACTTCGTCTTCTAGAAAGGCCTTTTATTTGCATTTTTTTTCGCCGAAATTCGGCACTAGAGTGCAATAATATAGCATATGTGCACGCAAGCTTGGATGCTCGTGACAGTCGCGAGCAAAGCTTAGAAGTAAAATTATCTTTTTGTATTTGTAATTCGTCGTAGATTCCGTCAGGTGGCGATAGTCAGAGCGACCGGTTCAGTATGCGTTATTTTGTGTATTAAATGTAGTTCAGACAACTTTGACAGAAATTCGCATCAATAAGAGCTGGCAAAAGTTTTCGCAGCAGGAGCATAGAGCATTGACATCTGTTTAGTTATTTAACATGAATAAAGTGTAACTGTTGTGTAAGCGAGTAAACAGTGTGAGTATTTTTTAATTAATATCTTTTATTCGATAGCTTATTCAGGCCTGCAGCCTTATGGACGGCCTCTACTGCTTGTTCAAACACCTTACTGATTTTTGTTTCTATAGGGTTGCCAACGCGTTAAAAATATTATTTAGCCACCATTATTTTAGCGTAATAAAGTCATTATTTACTAAATAATGCCTTTATATAATAAATAATATTATATCGTTAAATAATACATTATTTAACAATATAAATATTATTATATAAATAAATAATACTTATTTAACATATAATATATTATATATTAAATAATACATTAATTAACATATAATATATTATATATTATATGCTAAATTTATATAATTATATATATTATTAATAATTATATAATACATTATATTAACATATAAATATATATATATACATTATATAATATATTAATTACATTATAATATATTATATATATTAATATAATAATATATATAATACATTATTTAACATAAAATATATTATATGTTAAATAATATATTATATGTTAAATAATGTATTATTTATTTATATAATATATTATATAATTATATAATATATAATTTAGCATATAATATATTATATAATTATATAATGTATTATATAATTATATAATATTTTTACCTTCGGCACCTGGTCTTAGTATGCTCGGGTGGGGCGCCTTACACGTTACAAACGCAGTAAACAGAAAACAAGTGAACATCGGAACATAACAAGCCGTTGAATTTGAAAAAATTGATTCGCAGCATGTTTCAAGCTTAACTGCAAGCCTTGTACCAGCGATATCACAAGCAATTTTTTTTTGCTGCGTTTGTCACGTCGTGTAAGGGGGCCCACCCGAGCATACTAAGACCAGGTGCCGAACGTAAAAATATTATATAATTATATAATATATTATATGTTAAATAATGTATTATTTATTTATATAATATATCATATGTTAAATAATGTATTATTTATTTATATAATATATTACTTATTATATAAAGGCATTATTTAGTAAATAATGACTTTATACGCTAAATAATGTGCTCAATAATATTTTCACGGTTGGCACCCCATACGTGTTGACATATATTTATGTGCGGTCTATATCTTATCCTCTCTTTAGTAAATATATGGCTATACTCCATCTATACCGCGAGTTCAGTCTATCCATCCTGATCTAGTCTACTGCTCCTGTAAGTTACACACCCCCGAAATCTTCACAACTATACCTATATGCAATATTTACCTATATGCCTTATAAATATATATATTTAATATTTCATGTAGTTCAATCAAGTTGTGTTCATTCATCAGTTTGTTTTCATACGAATGGTAACAAGAATTATTATGATTGGTAGAATAGGCTGCGACTAGCTAGCACGTGACTCGTGACGTCACGTGAAAAATTATTATATTGTGTCATTCTCTTTCCTTTAGCTGTATACATGTATCTATCTATATACATATCCATATTTATATAATCTCTTAAATATGGATTAAAGTTTTTTTTCTTGCTAATTTGAATAATAGAATAAGTCGCGTTTTCTTATTTTTCATTTGAAATGTTGTGGGGCACAGACCGTCGGATTCAGCTTTTGGGAGTGGTTGGAAGATGGCGCTGTGGCGTCACTTTCATGTTAAGTGCGGATAGGCCAAGCGCTATCCAGATTATATTATAGAAATCAGTGGGCTACGCCACTAGCTGAAATGGCACAATTACACAACACGAATAATTTGACATCTAATGCTTTCTAGACGTCCACGAAGCATCTACCTTGCGCGCTTAATGCACATTATTGCACACTAGTGCCGAATTTCGGCGAAAAAAAAAGCCAAAAAGGCCTTTTATAGAGACGAAATAGTGCAACGGTGAACAATTGCGGAAGCTTACTGTTGTACACCTCCTGTAAATGATCGACTCTTAGCGGTATGTATGAGTGAAACCACGTCTGACGTTCGAAGCTATAACTACATAATAAGAAGAGATATCGATACACAGTAAAGTATGATGACAAGTTGGATGTTCAGCGCTAGTGCTGATGTAATTTTTATTGGATTTCACTTAATCAATCATAGATAAATACGAGTATGAAAATGTTGAATTTCTTGTGTTTCTAGCCTGTCATACTCCTCTTCTATTATCTACTCCTGATAGTATTGTATTATTATGCTTATTGCAAAAGAATATCACTACATATTATTTTTATTATATGTACACATGCATTGATTTATGAGATTTTCGAGACAGCAATGATAAACATGCGACTTGTGCCGTCCCCTGGCAAAGTTACACTGGAATTTTTACATTTATGCAGAGCACAGTAAGAGGGCACTGTCGACAGACCTACGCAGCAGCGCGATCGCCAAGAGGCGCCACTATCTATAGGAGTACGGGTTTGCAAGGGTGCGCCACCAACTGTATCTGTACACAACAAGATTATTTCTTCATAAACTTTATTCTTTAATCCAACTTAGTTGTGTTGACGTCGATACTCTACAACAATAATTATAAGCAAAATAGCAAAACTCAGTTATACGATAAACATTTCAAAGATAAATAGAGCTAGACATTACAAATAGCATAATTTCGAAGCAATTATCGACCAAGTTATCTACAAATAATATTATAACGTTGAATTAAGAGTTCATGTAGACATGATGAAGTAGAAATCCAAACGTGTGTATTAAACTGAATAAACTTTAATAACTTGCACACAGTGTAGTCACATCTTGCGCAAAGAAACAAAGACACGCGCACAATCGCCTAATAAGCACGTGTGCTTACTTCCGCGACCACAACCAGATTCTCCCTCTTATATCCCTTCCTATATATTACCTCCAAAACCCCTACATCCTGAGCGCACATGTCACTCCTTCTCCCATACGCGTCCTACCCCCATTTCACAATGACTCTAGAAACGCCCGACCTAAAACACGTTTACCATTTTCCCAACATCAATCTAGCCGCACAAGATGCGCGACGCTTTGTCTACATAGACTACCACCAAAACAACCCTGAGTCTAGCCGCACTCCGTGTCTCTACCTAACTTATGTAACATTTGTAAAACATATGTTACAATATAACTTTAGAAACAATTATAAAGCGCGGGAACACGGATCAGACGTCTGTAGAATGGTCATAGAAAACATCAAATTGCATGTAGATTGCAACTAACAATTGACAATCAACATAATCGACATAGATAAACTCCACGAATATTTGTGGCCTTTGTAACAAGCCGCACCCTACATAAACTGAGAAATGCATGGAAAAATCCAAACTTGAAAGGGACGAATGAATTACCATGCCACCATGAGTGACATCTTGAGAACAAAGGGCTGTTCTTTTCTTAGACACATAACCTATAGCACCATCTATGAACACAAATTACCGTAACGTAATATTCCGGCTCCTTAATTGTACTAACAATTACATAAGTGTAAACACTACTCAACTGAAATAAGCCAGAAAGGCTGGAAACTACAATAGTTAACCAAGAATCACGGATTGAAAGTACGATCCAGAATCCAGAATCATTAACTCGCGGCACGCTATAACAAATCAATCCGTCGGGAGCAACCTATCCCGTAGGAAGCTGTTGGTGGGGGTTATTCTGCCCCTTCACTTTCTAACAGTAAACATAACTTATGAATGGGACAATCCAGCACAGAGTGTTGCGTCTTAACTGAACACGAACGCACGAGTCCCTTGTCGTCAACTCTGGTGGCAGTTACTCGTCCTAGGAGCCAGCTGTTTCTAGGCAACGATTCATCCACGACCAACACGACATCTGCCTTCCGAATGTTCCTCTTTGGTCGTAACCATTTTTGCCTTGTCTGCAACAAAGGCAAATACTACTTCCGCCATCTAGACCATAACAGGCCCGCCAGATACTGCACTTGGCGCCAACGCCTTCGGACATACATGTCTTTCTTGCAGAAGACTCCAGGAGGCAAGACCGGCTGGTTTCTCAAAGTAAGTAACATATTTGGCGTCAATGGCTTGAGATCATCAGGATGAGTCGGCAGTGTGGTGAGGGGCCTCTCGTTGACGATGGACTCTATCTCGAACATCAAGGTAGGCAGGCCTTCGTCGTCAAGGCGAATAGATTGCTCCTTCATGACTCCATTCATAACCTTCCTCACCACTCTGATCATGGACTCCCATACTCCGCCGATGTGGGATGCAGCAAAGGGATTGAAAATCCAAGTCGTGCCGTGTTGCGCCAGCCAGGCAGGGATATTTTTGCTGTTCCACTCTCGCAGAGCTGCCTTGAGTTCAGCACTGGTTCCAACGAAGTTACTGGGTCACTGCTTAAGTCTACAGGTTGGACACCGACATTGTATTATAAACAATAGTACTTTATTATATGATATATGATATATTTCAATATCTGGTAGCCGGACTAGCCGCGATCACTAATATTCAACCGATTATCTTCGATCATTGATCGGTTGGGTGTAACCTATGATAGATGATGAAATTCCAACCGATTTCCATCACTACAAACTGGTTTAGCCTGAGTGACCTAGCCGCAATATCGATTGTGTGGTTGGTTATCTGTCTCAGACAGCTAGGTCAGTTACACTATTAGCCACATGCGATTTTTTATTATTAGCAAGATTTTGTAATCAATACATTTTAGAAGATAAATCAGCCCTCGACAATAACGGTTGGCCAATTGCCCGAGACAAATCAATGTTTATGTCAGACAAGTTATTCTCTTGGCTAGTTGCCCGATCAGAAACTGAAAAATTATATGAATCTATTTATATAACTTAGATCTCTATATTATACACTCATGGCACGGAACCAAAATTAGGACAAGATATAATTGCTTCTTGTTGTCCAACAGGACAACCAGATCTGAAAATAAGCGCCGAGGACTGTAAATTATAGCTCATTTTTCCACATGAGTATGACAGGTCAATTTTCCAAGTCGCAAACTCGCCGATTATTCGTTTTAGTGCTCTTCAACTAATAATGACTAGAGCCGGACAATCCTAGTTTAGCACCCCGGTTTAGTTTAGCATCTATCTGAACTATATATACCGGGACCCAAAGTAGGATTGAACACTAGTACTTGTCATATATGCACTACATCATAAGTACCCGGATTACTCTAATGCAATATGAACCAATCGGATGCGAACAATTTCTGTTGTGCTTTCCTGCTATTAAAATATTACATGGTGTCAGAATAATTACGTAATTCACGCCTAAAATGGAACTGTTTAAAACCCCATCACAGCTCAATTTCGATGGGAATCTCGTAGAGAATTGGAAAAGGTGGATGCAGCACTCCGAGCTTTAGCTCACGGCGTCATGTGCGGTAAGCAAACATGGTGCTACAAAGATTGATATACTACTCCACACGATCGGAGACAAAGGAATAGAAATTTACAATACCTTCACATATGAGGATCAAGAGGACAAGGACAGTCTTGAAGTAGTTCTACAGAAATTCAGTGAGTACTGTGAGCCAAGAAAAAACAGTTATAGAAAGGTACACGTTCTAGGAACGCTCCCAACGGGAAAGGGAAACGATAGACCAATTCTTAACAGCCCTAAAAAATCACGCAAAAAACTGTGATTTCGACACACAAAGAGATAATTTTCGGTGTGGCACTCCAGGCTCAAGGAAAGGCTATTGAGAGACTCCGACAATCCTAAACTCGACAGGATCGCTGAGTTATGCAGGGGCGCCGAGGTGAGCGCCAGACAGCTCAGAGAAATAGAAAACGTTGCTACTGCAAGTATTAATGCCGTATCGAACAAGGGACAGAAATGCCGTCAGCCCCAGGCTAAGTCCCAGACAGAGAAGTTTCACCACAAACCTAAGCCACAAACTGCATCAAAATTCAACTGCAGTAACTGTGGAAAGACAAACGACAAAAACGAATGTCCTGCGTACGGACAGGATTATCATAACTGTAAGAAGTAAAATCACTTCGCTAATATGTGTCGTAGTGGTAACAACCGGAAGCAATACGGGCACGGTAAAATTCACGCATTGGAAAAAGATTTGCCAGTACAGACTCTCTTTATCGGGTCAGTGCATGTTGAACTAGGACAAGTACAGAGCACTAACGATGTGTGGCGTTTTTCGTCGTTTACTGTTCTTCTAACTTTATTCTTAAATCCGTGGTTAGACTTCCGCTTCTTCTGGTTCTTCGTATCCGGTTACCCGGCTACGTATACCAGTGCCGCGTTAGTCATGTTGTCGTTCTTCTTCGTTTTCGTGACCGTATAGTACCTTTTTGCGTTGTGTTCTTGACCGACCGGCGGTTACTCGCCAGTCTCTTCGACAGTCTGCGGAGTTGGGCGGGGGGGCGTGAGGTGGTGGTGCGTGAGTAGCTCGACAGAGATACGACACAAGTCCGAGAATACGTGACGTGGCCTTATAAAGAGCCGTTTATTTGAATGCAAAAAACAATGTGTTGTTGTCTGATGTCTCTTGGAGGTGGTGACATACAATATAAGTTATGCGCCTTAGTTAATAGTCGCGAGGTTGGTTGAAAACCGGATCGTCGTCTTCCCCGCCAAAATTAATGTGATTGCGGTCACTGAACGTTCTAGCTGACTACATACTACCTAAGCTCGAACGATAAAGCTGGCTGCCTACTGACTAACCCTATCATCATTACTGAGGTGCCCTATGTGAATATGTGCTGAGGGCACTAAAACTGCTAGTATAATAATGACTGCTCTATGACTCTAACATTATGACTGCTCGACTGAATACTGACCTTTGCTTCCGGGCAAAGTCCCCTATTTGATTATGCTGTCCGCGGGATTGAAATGCACATCTCACAACCAATTCACAATCATTTATCTCTAAGTTCATTTTCCCACCGGTAAAACGTTAAATTCATACCTCGCGGATTGCAGAAAGCATATTCTGGACCAATGTGCAGAGCTTCAGCCATATCCCTTTTGCGCGCAGGTCAGGAATGCTTGCGCCACTTCGCGCCATATTTTATCTGCGCGGCGCACGCTGCAGTGGCTTCTCGCACTTGCGCCAGAGTAGATGGTTCATCAAAGTAATAACTAATGTTGCTGGTGCGTTCTAAATCTAAGGCTGGCCCTTGGGCACCCTTAGCAGAAAATAGAACCCGCGTAATGTGTAATGAAGTGGCCCTCTGCTACCGAAACGCCGCGTAACCCGCGGGTTACCCGCCGCTGTGTTCGCCGCCGCCGGCGCGGTGCGGGTATCCGCGGCGCGTGTTCCGCCGCCGCCGGCGCGGTGCGGGTATCCGCGGCGCGTGTTCCGCCGCCGCCGGCGCGGTGCGGGTATCCGCGGCGCGTGTTCCGCCGCCGCCGGCGCGGTACGGGTATCCGCGGCGCGTGTTCCGCCGCCGCATACCGCGCAACCTCCGGTACGGGTTATCCCGCTTCCGGCGCGACCCGGGTGGGCGCACAAATCAGGCCGCCGCTACAGATGCATGGTGCACATAACTTAAATTGGAATGCAGTAAGAAAGCAATAAAATTCAAAATTGACAGGTGCTGAAGCAAATGTGTTGCACGAGAAACACTATGCGAAAGCATGTAAGACACAAACTGTGCTATCTGCGTATGGAGTGTTGAAACTTCAGCAACTGGGATGCATCTCTACCAAAATACGTGACACATACGTTGAGCTGTATGTAGTGGAAACTGACTCTGAACCAATACTAGGTCTCAAATCGTGTCACGACTTGAAGCTCATTGCGAGGCTAGAAAGTGTCATGGAGGAGAAACCCCTCACAAGAAATGACGCCATGAAAGAATATAAGCATGTGTTTAAAGGGCTCGAGAAATTTGAAGGAACATATAAGACTGAGCTAGACCCAAGCATCAAACCAGTAGTTCACCCGCCCAGGAAGGTCCCCTTCAGCCTTCAACGGAAGCTGAAGGAAACCCTAGACAGAATGGAGGCAGAAGGTAGCATAACCCCAGCGGAAGAGCCCACAGACTGGGTAAACAGTCTCGTGATAGTGGAGAAAAGGAACGATTCTCTACAACTCTGCCTAGATCCGTGTGACTTGAACACAGCCATAAGGCGAGAACATTACAAAATATCGGCGCCGGAATACGTTGCTGCACAATTGCATGGCAAGAAATTCTTCACGACCCTGAATGAGAAAGATGGCTACTGGCAGGTGCAACTCGACCATGAATCCTCACTCCTATGCACGTTCAATACGCCGTATGCCCGATACCGGTTCCTGAAAATGCCTCTCGGTATCTGTTCAGCAAGTGAAGTATTCCAGAAGAGAAGCAAACAAGTGTTCGGTGACGTAAAAGGTGTATGCATAATTGCCGACGACATGATTATCGCCGCCGAAACCCCAGAGGAGCATGACAGGATCGTGAGGAGAGTGCTGGAAAAGGCAAGAGAGCAGAATGTGAAATTTAACCCCACCAAAATGCAATTCAAGGTGGATACAGTCGAGTACATGGGAAATGTGATCACTCCGGAAGGACTCAAGCCAGATGAGCGGAAAGTGCGAGCCATATCAGACATGCTGACTCCGACTGACAAGCCAGCTCTCCAAAGACTCTAAGGAATGGTCAATTACGTCGCGAAGTTTATTCCGAACATGGCCGAAATCAGGGCACCGCTCAGAGATCTGCTCAAGAAATATAATGCATGGGTGTGGGATGCGACATATGAGAAAGCCCTTCAAGCCATTAATGGCTAGTTGACCAGCGCACCCGTACTACACTACTATGATAAAAAAAACGTGCAAATTCAAGCCGATGCATCACAGAATGGGCTTGGTGCATGCCTGCTGCAGGACGGATGTGTCTAGGTCACTGACGGCAGCAGTGTAACTACGCTGAAATTGAAAAAGAGCTACTGGCAATAGTGTTTGCCTGTGAGAATTTCACCAATACCTCTACGGGAGATAGGTGGAAGTGCAATTCGATCACAAGCCACCCACAGGAATTATCAAGAAACCCCTCGTGAAAGTGTCGCCGCGTTTGCAAAGAATTCTGTTGAGACTGCAGCGATATCAGATTAGCATCACCTACGCACCAGGCAAACACATGTACATCGCAGACACGCTGTAACGAGCATACCTGGATAGGGATAATGATAAGGACAGTAAACTCGGCGAAGAAATGGACGTTCAAGTTGACTCATTCGTGGAAAACCTATCCGTGAGTGAGCAGAAGCGTGAGCAACTCAAGCATGAAACTGCAAGAAACCCGGAACTTCGGTAACTCAGGTCCACAATTCATGCTGGATGGCCGGCAGAGAAGTCCCAAGCACTTCCCGCCACGCGACCATATTGGAATATACGTGGCGAGGTGTACAAGGCAGGACTGCTGTTCTACAGGGAAAGACTCATAATGCCTCGAGAAATGCGCAAGGAAATTCTCAACACTGTGCATGAGTGTCATATCGGGATGGAAAAATGCAAGGCCAGGGCACGTAACATCATCTACTGACCTTGAATGTCACCAGCAATCGAAGATTTCATAGCAAGTCGCAAAACGTGCAACCGTTTCAAGAAGAGACAGCAGAACCGCTAATTCCACATGATGTACCAGACAGACCGTGGGAAAAACTCGGTATGGACTTGTTTGAGTATGGGGCAAAGGACTATCTTGTTGTAGTAGACTACTACTCCAAGTTACCAGAAATCAGCCTACTTGAGACAAAAACCGTGAGTGAGGTGATCACGCATCTCAAGTCCATCCTCGCGAGGCACGGGATAACGGAAATTATTGTGTCTGACAATCAGCCGTTTAGCCCCCGTGAGTACAAAGACTTTGCTAGGAAATGGGACATTGAACTATGTACCTCAAGCCCAACGTACCCCCAATCAAACGGACTCAGTGAACGGACTGAACAAACAGTTAAGAACATACTTAGAAAGTCGGCCGAGAAAGCGAGTGACCCATACATCACATTACTCGAATACCAAAATGCACCCATTGCTGGAATGCATTAACTCTCCCGCTCAACTGCTGATGAGCAGGACACTTCGATCAAGATTACCAGCAAAAAGTACATCGCTGATGCCAAGAATTGCAAAGGATGCATGTGGGCAGCTCAAAATGAGACAGAATGAGCAGGCACGCCTATATAACAAGCATGCCAAACCGTTACCAGAGCTACAAAATGGTAATACCATCAAGATCAGGACCCAGAAAACTTGGGAACTAGCTGTAGTACAACAGGAACACGCGGCACCACGGTCCTACGTAGTAGACACACCCAACGGACGTTTCTACATGAGAAACAGAAAACACTTACTTAGGACATGCGAACCGAAACCTGTGATAACTGGTCCGGAACACGATAAAATCCCGACAGCAGGAAGTTTGCTAGAGCACCATGAGCTCCCAGCACATGCCGAACGCACTGAACCGGCACGGCAGAGCACTACATACACTAGTCGTTCCGGGAGAATCATCAGGAAATCAAGTCGTTACAAAGCCTACGTCAAATCGTGATTCTGTTCTGTGTGATTGAACTGGTGGTAGACCAGTTCCAACAGTGGGCTATGTGCCAGCAACCTCTAGCCCAGCTGCAGAGTTTGACTGTTAGTGTTCAAAGTCGAATGATAATTGATGATTTCAAATTGCATTTTGATCCAATCCAAAATTTTATTGTTCTCAATAATTCAGTCTTGCAAACATAGTTATACATGATACAATTAGATGTTGGTAAAATATTGGGTACTTGATTATAATTGACAATTCCATATCTAATCGATAATTTGCAAGTCAAGTTTATTACTGAATAGTTTTGTTGCTCGAGTTCTATTGTTCTATTCAACTGTCTTTAAAAAAAGAGAAAAAAAGGAGAGATGTCATATATGCACTACGTCATAAGTACCCGGATTACTCCAATGTAATATGAACCAATCGGATGCAAATAAATTCTGTTGTGCTTTTCTAATGGCGCTCTTCTGCTATTAAAATATTACAGTACTGTCCTAGTCTAGTGAGTATGCAAACATCCAGACATTGAACAAACTGTTTAATTGCCACGACTTTAATTATTGAAACGGGCAAAGTTTCTGTGCTTTGTGCTCTTACTTACAAGTTTGACTATTTACGGGCCAGATTCAACCCAATCTTCATACGCTAATATCGATCGAATTAATCAAATGCACAAGGTATATAAACACAGTTAAGGATACTGTAAGGGTTAGAGACGAATTTTTGGTCATCATTTTTCTACCAATTTTAGTTGATAGATCGCAGCCATGGGCAGCTATGTATTAATAGATTGTGATGTATTTCGCCTCCCAAACAATTGAAAATTCCCGCATTAGTCAATTCTTAACACAGGCGTTCAATGATAGGAAATTTATAAAAGTGCTGATATCTCGGTTGTTAAAAATGCTAAACTAAGTGATTTTTCAAGCGCTATTTCTCGAAAAATTCGCAACTCCGATTCCAAATTTGTTTGTTACGTTTCAATGCTAACATATCAAAGGAAAAAACGTTCCTGGAATTTTTGTTAAATATTATATTTTATGAGTTATGGCTCTTTGTTTACGAAATTGTTGCATTTAGAATTCACTACAAATTTTTGTACATATTTTTAACTTATTTCTTAAATTAAAGCATTTAAAAAAAATCCAGACCTTTTTTAGTTCATATTATGAACAACTTATGGTTAAAAGTTTAGGTCACAACTCTTTGCTGTTTCTGAGCATTTTTCTGAGCATTATTCAAAAAGCATGTTTTTGTATAAATTAACCATTTTTGCCGTCAATTAATTAGCAATAAATTAAAAAAAACTATTTCATCGAGAGCGTAGAGAGACATCTCTCGTATGTAATGTATATGAGTTTGATTGAATTTGATGAGTAGTTATGTTGCAATGACCTTTACAGTGTTACCGGTCATTAACCATTACAGTATCACCTAACACCTAAAATTAGGTAAAATTAGGTAGTAACACCTAAAAGTTACAACAGCAACCATCTTCCATTAAAGGCGTAGATGACACCCTTCACCGCAAATGTGTAAGCTGTTTAGTAGAGGCTAAAGACGGTGCCCATCTTGCACGCTCTTACTGAAGCAAGCACAGGACTTATTGACAAAGTTTATAAAAATTAAAAACGCTTTTATCTAATTTTAAATATTATTTGAAAACTTACAAGATATCAAAGAAAGTATGTAAATGTAAAATTTGCACGATTTGGGTGCAAATAGCACGTAGACTCATTAAATAACCCTCTTCGGCCTTCCACAGGGTGCAAATTAAGACTGAAAGAGTAGTCATTGATGGTGTGGAATATGATAGTATTATATTATTATGCTTATTACAAAAGAGTATTACACCAGCACATATTATTCTTATTAGATGTATACATTCATTTATGACATTTTTAAGACAGCAATAACTAGAAAGAGCAGTTTTCACCAACTACATGTATCCCCCGTGTTCTCCCAAAGATGTGTAAGTATACGAAGTTTAGTCGTGCTAGGTCAATTAGGGGCCGAGTTATAGAGCAGAAAGAAAATATGATCAATGTCAAGGTCAATGTCAAATAAAGGTTGCAGTGACCTGGTTTCAGTACGCGACAGACCTTCTCCCCAAGATGTGTAAGTATACCAAGTTTGGTTGCACTAGGTCAATTAGGGGCCGAGTTATAGAGCGGAAGGAAAATATGGTCAAGGTCAAGGTCAAGGTTAAATAAAAGCCGCAGTGACCTGGTTTTGGTACGCGACTCACATTCTCCCCAAGATGTGTAAGTATAGCAAGTTCGGTAGCGCTAGGTCAATTAGGGGCAGAGTTATAGAGCAGAAGGGAAATATGATCAAGGTCAAGGTAAAGGTCGTAGTGACCTGGTTTTGGTAGCGCTAGGTCAATTAGAGGCTGACTTATAGAGCGGAAGGAAAATATGATCAAGGTCAAGGTAAAGATCAAATAAAGGTCGCGGTGACCTGGTTTTGGTACGCTGCTCACCTTCTCTCCAAGATGTGTAAGTATACCAAGTTTTGTAGCGCTAGGTCAATTAGGGGTCGAGTCATAGAGCGGAAGAAAAATTGTCTGCGGCGGCGGCGGCGGCTGAGGAGACATGAAACCATAGTATCCCCGCCGACTTCGTCGCAGGGGATACAATAAGCAAACTGGACACGGCCATGGCACCGTGTGACTTGTGCTGCCCCCTGGCAAAGTTATGCTTTGTAATTTTTACATTTGTGCAGAGCGCAGCAAGAGGGCGCTGTCGACAGACCCACGCAGTAGCGCGACCGACAGGAGGCGCCACTAACTACAAACGCGACAAACTGATGGCGCATCGAAAAACAAAATAAAATTGAACCAAACGCGACCAGCAGAGAGAGTGCTAGAGCAGCTGGGAAAACTGTACGTGGGGCTTGTGTTGAATGACATCCACCACTACACTCATGTTCTCACTTGTAAGCAGGAGTAGAGAGGAAGAGAGGGAGCGAGGCAGGGAGGAAGGGAGGGAGAGAGAGAGAGAGAGAGGGGCGAGAGCGAGAGAGAGAGAGAGAGAGAGAGAGAGAGAGAGAGAGAGCGAGAGCGAGAGAGGAGAGGGAGATGAGAGGGAGAGGAGGGGGAGTGGAGGGAGAAGGCTGTTAGAGGGGCTGCTGTTGAGCGACATCCAACACTACACTTACGTTCTTACTGGTAAGCATGAGTAGAGAGAAAGAGGGAGGGAGCAGAGAGAGAGAAGGGATAGAGGGGGAAGAACTGTTTGAGGGGCATCCAGGATTTTCTCTCTTGTATGAGCGTGAACGTCTCTGGCGTCTACTGGAAAGAGTGCATCCGTATCCACACGTTCAACGCCTAACTAATTAGCTGTTTAATCGGTAGATTGTCAGTCACATCACTCTTGATTGCATGCACATCGCCTTTCAGGATTTCTTCTCTCATACAAGCCTGAGTGTACGGCACTGGAGTCTACTGACGAGAGTGCTCCTGTATCCACACGTATAACGTGACTTTACGTCTGACGAATTAGCTGTTTAACCTGCAGACCCGTCCATCACACCACTCCCGATTGCATGTGCATGGCCTTTCTTCGGTGCGACTGCGTGCGCATGTGTTTCGAGAGAGATCCCCAGGATACGCTCCTGAAAGAGCAGATGTCGCACGTGTACGGTTTCTCTCCCGTGTGCTTGCGCGTGTGCATCCGAAGATTCGTCAAACGAGTGGTTCTGAAGTCGCACGTGTCGCACGCGTACGGTTTCTCACCCGTGTGCGTGAGAAAGTGCTTCTTGAGACTGCTGGAGCTGGTGCAGGTGTACTCACATATGTCACAAGCGTACGGTTTCTCTCCCGTGTGCGTGCGCGCGTGCGCTTTGAGGTTGCTAGAGGTGGCGCAGGTGTAATCGCATATGTTGCACGTGTACGGTTTCTCTCCCGTGTGCGTGCGCATGTGCGCTTTAAGGCTGTCGCGGTAGCAAGTCCTGTACTCGCACGTGTCGCACGCATACGGGTTTTCTCCCGTGTGCGTGAGCGCGTGCGCCTGTAAGCCGTTCAGATTTGCACTGCGATACCCGCACTTGTCGCACGCATATGGTTTTTCTGCCGTGTGCGTGCGCGCGTGCGCCTGTAAGCCACTGAACTGAGAGCTCCGATACCCGCATGTCTCACACGCGTACGGTTTTTCTCCTGCGTGCGTGCGCGCGTGTGCCTGTAAGCCACTGAGCTGAGAGCTCCGATACCCGCATGTGTCACACGCGTACGGTTTTTCTCGTGTGTGCTGGCGCGCGTGCCTTTTCAGGCTGTAGTGGTAGCATGTCCTGTACTCGCACACGTCACACACATACGGTTTCTCTCCCTCGTGCGTGAGCGCATGCGCCTGTAAGCCGCTCAGATGTGCACTGCGATACCCGCATGTCTCACATGCGTACGGTTTCTCTCCCGTGTGCGTTCGCATGTGCTTCTTCAGGCTGTGGCGGTAGCACGTCCTGTACTCGCACACGTCACACGTGTGAGGTTTCTCTTCCGCTTCACGCTGCACGTCTGAGCGAGGAGGAGGAGGAGGAGCAGGAGCAGGAGAAGCACGAGGGGCAGGAGAAGGAAGAGGAAGAAGAGGAGGAGGAGGAGAAGAAGAAGCAGAAGGAAGAGGAGAAGGTTCCATCGAGCGGGCGGTGATCGAGATCTCGATTTCTCCCCGAGGCAGGTTCCTCTCTTACTTTCCTCCCCGATGCAGTTTCCTCTCTCACTTTCCTCCCTGATGCAAGTTCCTCTCTTACTTTACTCTCCGATGCAGGTTCCTCTCCCACTTTCCTCCCCGATGCTGTTTCCTCTCTCACCTCTGCTCCCCGTGCAGTTTCCTCTCTCACTTCCCTCCCCGATGCAGGTTCCTCTCTCACTTTCCTCCCCGATGCAGTTTCCTCTCTCACCTCTGCTCCCCGTGCAGTTTCCTCTCTCACTTTCCTCCCCGATGCAGGTTCCTCTCTCACTTTCCTCCCTGATGCAGGTCCCTCTCTCACTTTCCTCCCCGATGCAGGTTCCTCTCTCACTTTCCTCCCCGATGCAAGTTCCTCTCTCGGTCGTCCGCTTTCCTGTGGACAGAAAACATAGACCCCAGATAACTTCCCCTGCCCCACAGAGATAAAGTCAGGTTCATTTGCTGCGGGAATGGCACTAAAAAATCACGAGTTATACTTAAAGGCATAATAGGCCCATGATTATACAATGTTGACGAATGCTACAGTAACTGGCACCTTGTGTAGTTAATAAGTACATAACCTTACATCAAAACGCGTATTAGCTTGTCCAATATCACTGCTGGTTACATTACAAACAAAACTTGAAATCGGTTGGTGATATTTATCAACGTATCATTTACGTGCCGTAAATGTCATCCAAGAGTCAAGCGATGACGTAAAACATTTGTTCGACCCGTATGTTTTGGACGCCAGATGAAATGGAGGTACTGCATTAAACACGGACGCTTCGTGATTCTTTTTCACATATTATATGTTGCTTGTAATCTCAAGATCTTCGTATCTTCATTTATTCTCATGAGTAAAACCATAACGTACAGAATGCGAGCATGCGTGCGAAAATGTCCGGTGCACTATAATCTGTATCACACCCACTTCGGCAGCTGCGGTTTGAAACTGTAAACAACTGATTTATTTAACTGCGGATTTCAATTATACATTTCTTAGTAACCAGCAGTGATATTGGACAAGCTAATGCGCGTGTGGATGTAAGGTTATATATACTTATTAACTACACAAAGTGCCAGTTACTCTAGCATTCGTCAACATTGCATAATCAATGGGCCTATTATGCCTTTAATAGGACAATACTACGCAACGAAGACTGAACTTTTCGAAATGTTAGTGTGTCGCAAATTTGTCAGAGTATAGATACACGTGAACTCGATGGAGTCACGTGACCAAATCACCACGGCAATGGTAACCATTACGCCCACACATTATAAAAAAGTCAATCACTAAAGTGATTTATTGATTGACCTATCAACAGAGAGTGAGAGACAGGTGTCTATAGGCATACATGAGAGCAGTGAATCTTACTATAATTTGGCGAATGTTGTATGTATGTATGTTAAAGAAAGGCTCCGTCAGTTTGGATCCAAATAGCGCCAAATTTACAGAAGAGATCGATGAGTACACGGGACGGGTTGTAAACTATACTCGGTTGAAAACCGTTTGTTCGGTCTTAAAAAAGACAAAAAAACAACAGGAAAAGTAAACATTTGCCTGAAAGTAGGGGGCGCTGTTTTGTTTACGTTCTGTTTGTATTTCGTTGTTTCAACCAAGGAGCTAAATAGGCCTATAACATAATAAGCCCCATAATGTAAGTAGAAATAACCATGTAATAATGAAGTTAAATATTCAGTAGCTGTTTAGCCATAGTTTCCCATATGCGATGTGCAAGTTGAATTTCATCAGTGCAGATTTTTTTTTGGAAGTCTGTAATGCTGTACAGTGTACGGGTGCCGTGTACACCGATCTGTCACAAGCGGTCCGATCACAAGCACGTAATATTACGTCGTCTGCACAGAGTGCAAACATGCGTAGAAATGAGCGATCACAACCACGCAATATTACCTGGTCCGCACACAGTGGAAACATGCGAAGCACGTAATATTACGTTTACGTTATACCCATTAATTACGCTTACAATAAAACGTTTCTGTGTGGGTGTGTGTATTTCACTGTGTACTTGCCAAACAAATGGTTAATGTGTTACGTGTAAGCATGATTGTACATGTATGATGTATTTGTATTGACATCTCAACCATAAAAAACTAACATGTGCAACAACTAAACTCTCCATATAACACCTTACACATGACACTACTGCACTGGTAACACATGCATCACAGTCACTAAGCCCGCGCGTAGCGCGGGTTTCAGCTAGTTACCAAAAAAGTGGCAGGCGCGCCCGCGTCGACTGGGGGTCCAGGGGATCTCACCTGGGGAAATTTTGAACAAAATGAACGCAGGAGACCAATCGTGAGCTATAAAAGCTCTCTGTGCATATAAAACCCCATTTAATTTTCTAAAATGTCCTCCAGTTATAGGACCCAAACTAGTAGCAATATTTTCCAGATTACTTTTGATCGTCCAGTATTTGAATACTTTTACGATTCACAGGTACCGATTTTCAATCATTGACTAACCTCAACCTACCTCAGCCCACTTTGCTCTCAACGGATCTACACGAATTAAACAATTTCTCATTATGCTTTGAAAAATAATTAAAAAAGCGGAAATCCGTGGATCCGCGGAAAATTCTCATGTATAGATGTATATGTAAGATAAGCAATCGTTGTTGCAAGAGAGGCATCCGTAAAACACTGCTAAGTAACAAAGCCAAACAAACCTGACAATAAAACACGGAAGAAAAACACACACAAACTGGTAGTGATGTCCCGATGATCGATTATAATTGAAAGTCAGTCGTTTGCAGCAACCATCTAAGTGCTCGATTATGCAAAAAAATAATCGATTATCAAAGAATTTTTTTTTATTTAATAACATTTGCAAAAATTGATGAAATGATTCTTAATTCTATTTTTCTGTTTTTATTTTGGTTACTTTACAGCTTAGAGACAGTAAATCTAACCTTCACAAAACAGAAGCATGTATAATACAGTTACATAGGTTTTATAATATTGTATTATAAAAAATACTGTATTATATGATATATGATATATTGCAATATCTGGTAGCTGCGATCAATAACATTCAACCGATTATCTTCGATCATCGATTGGTTGGGTGCAAACAATGATCGATGATAAAATTCCAACCGATTCCCATCACTGCAAACTGGTTTAGCCTGAGTGACCTAGCCGCAATATCAATTCCGTAGTTGGTTATCTGTCTCAGATGGCTAGGTCAGCTACACTAATGCCAAAACAAAAAAATATGTGTGGTTACGATTTTTCCGACCAACGCTATTTATTCCCAGTGACTCTAAACATTTTATTTCTTTTTTTAAATCATAAAATAAAATAAAAATATATTTTATTGCTACTGATCTAAATACAGCCAAACGTTTGTTTGTTTTGGGTCTTTTTTCAACAGTATTTCAGTTATTTCATGGCGGTCAGCGCACCTATTCATCGTTCCTGGAATCCGTTAGGTGGGTAACCAGTACTAGACTCACCTTATCCCTGCAAGACACCGACTACTTCCCCCGGCCCCCCCACTCAGTGTTATTCAGGGTACGCATATGCTCGTTCCCTCCCTTTGAAAGCACCCCCCTATCTCAGGACTGCTCAAATCTCTGAACCCCCCTTTCGCGGGCTTTTTGTGGGTTTTTCCTGCCTTGGAGACCCCCCTAAATCCGGAACACTGCTCAATGTACCCCCTATCTCCGGTGAGCTCTCATTCCAACCGTAGTGACGTTAGTGTAGTGTGTGGAACTGTCAAACCAGTCTACACTACGTAGTGTAGAGTTCAGTGATCAAGGGGAACTAGGGGGCAATATTTTTACATTTCAAAATTAAATAATCCTGAATGAGCTTTCAAAACTAGCAGGAATTTTAGGAATTTGATCCCGGGATTTGATAAAGTTTTCTATGATATTCAAGATGAAAGAGAGAGAGGAAAAACACCTCCTTTTTAAAGAAATATCCGGGTGAAAAGTCAAATACACCCCCTTTTTTACAATTCTTGGGCCGGATTTTGTCGCGCAAAAAATACCCCTTTACCGGAGATTTTGGGAACGCGCATATGCGGTCCCTCCGACCTCGGAGTGGGGGGCCGGGCTACTTCCTCACATATTCAGAGGTGGGAGACTCATGGCTGCAGAACAAAGTTCATTACTATTCATCACAGACTTTGGCTAGGCCGAGATTCAAACTCACGACCCCTGGATTGACATTCAGAGGCGTTATCAACTGAGCTGTCCAGGCCCATCGCCCAAACATATCGAAAATAAAGTTTACAAAACATGGCGGCCGTCATGCAAGTTTAATATTGCTCTGACATCCAGGACGATGACGAAAGAGACAACAAAGCTTCCTGTTGCCCCATGTGCATTGATGTTGATATTCTTTGTTTGCTGCTAGTTGTAACTGCCGAGGTCAGCAGTAGACATGTAGGTGCTGAATCAGTTTACATCTACTGTATTAGGTTTTGTTTTGCCANTTGGGCCGGATTTTGTCGCGCGAAAAATACCCCTTTACCGGAGATTTTGGGAACACGCATGCGGTCCCTCCGACCTCGGAGTGGGGGGGGGCGAGGGTGCGGGATAGCGTGTACAATCATCCCCCCTACTTTCAGGAGAAAAATGGGGGAAAATTCCATATTTTACAGACACAAAACACTGAACATTTATCTACAAATCCGTCATCTCTATTCATACTCTCCTAATGTTTTATTACACAAATGGAAAGCTCCATATATATACTGTAAAATGTCTGTAATTCGTTCCAAGAATTACATTATTTTGCTGAAACTCAGACTGGACGCATTCCCCATATACGATTTTTTTTTTTAATCCCCAAATCACGTCTTATCACTGCTCACGAAAGTTAATTTAAATCCCTGCTTTATTCAAAATTAGAATAGACCTATTGAGAGTTGGGATATTGAATTTTCACGGGGATTGAATGGGAAAAATTAAATTTCATCACACTTTTTGTGGGGTGCTGAGACCTGACCGGAAGTACACTCCCGATTTTGTATGAAGGGGTAAAAATATGCACTTTTTGGTTCAAATCTAGTTGTTTTTCTCATACTTTTTTGTACAGTTTTAGCGTTCTCAGTAAAATGTACGTTTTATCAAAATTTCAGGGATAGATGATTCCAGCTAGTGCTGTAATTGTCAGTGGCGGATCCGGGGACGTGATTTTTTCTAGGTCAATCAAGAACACAGGGCTCTAGTGAGCACTGCCAT